TTTTTGTTTTTTTTTTTTTCAGCTGAATTACACTTCTAAACTTTTAAACTTACAGCTTTATTGAGGCATAATTCTAAGAGTTTTATATTTAAATAACAAGAAATCATGGGGTGTGAATTACTTTCCCCTTTTTAAATCCAAGGAAAGTGAAGAAAACTTCGCCCTTCTGTGACTTAAATTTCTCACCCAACAACGATGTTTTGGGCTGGAAGAACAAAAACAAAAACAAAACTCGCTTAAGCCTAAGACGGAGAAAGGTTCCTAGACCAGTGGGCACTGCCCTGTCCTTCCCAGTCTTCAGGAACCCATCTCACACTCCCTCTGCACTTTTCTTGGTAAGAATAAGGGGATAATGTTAGAATTGAGCTCACAAAGTCCTGAACTCTGTTCTTGACCCTGACCACTGTAAATCTACACTAATAAACTTGTGCTGAAATAATCTGTGGACACAACGATCCCTTTTCTTGTAGAATAATTTTCACCAAAATTCTTTATCCTCAGATACCGATCTACATTGAACAACATGATACTTCCGTATAATTAGAACATTATACTTTGAAATGTTCATATATTCTTTATTGGTAAACATTTTCTGGTACAATAAAATGAAAAGACGATGACAGTTACATTAAAATGTCCTACAAGTGAGGACTAAAATCCACTTGAATTTCACCATACTTTCTACTTTGTCCTACTGTGGATTGCCTGACTTTGTCCTCGGTACTAAGCAGGTCTGGTCTACCTCAGAGATAGATTGCTTGAGAGCATTCTGAAATCTTCCCAGTTTGCTTTTAACTGAGAGAGAGCTAACATGGAAATAGTGTGAGATTTACATAACTGTGTGCCTGTAACCAAGCCAAATGACAGAACATAGTAAGAAATGTACTCAAACCTTAAGGTTAAGTTTCCCGTCTTCATACAGAGAGCCAAGTCAACCGTTTACATGGCAGTTAAGAGGCTGCTGGGGCTGGACGATTCCCCACAGCTCTGACACTCTTGCTACACTCCAGTACTGCACTACGAACCCTCCTCACTATGGCAGTTCTGTGGTGCAAGGGCTAAAATCTTTCTAACATCCAACTTCCACATAGGATTAGGTCCTCATGGAGACTTGAATGTAACTTCTGAATTCAAATTACTGAAGAGCAAAGTGTAATGATTATGAGCTTATGTGCTGATAATGAAGCCTCAGACTAATTAAGTCTGAGAATGTATGTGCCAGGGTAGCCCACAAAGCCTGGGGTGCTCAGCTGGGAAGTGCAAGCCCGGCTGTATGCTGGGTTTTCTCAGCTACTGTCCCAGTACCTTCTTTATAGAAGCTAATGTTATACAGAATGCAAAAGCCTGTGGCAACCATCAGGGCCCCCAAATCCAGCATGAGAGCCTGAGTCCCCAGACCTGACAGCTCAGCCGGGTAGACCATGCACAGCAAACACGTCTGCGGATCAGGGTTGTCCTCCATCTCACCACAGATGTGTGAACAAAGACTTCACTTTACACCAGGACTTTTCCATAAATTCTTTTCAAAAAATTTCTTCTATGAAAAAATTTTCTTCTATTTCTTTTCTTCTGTTTTTCTTCACCTGTCCTGCCACAGCCCCCCAGTCCTCTGCACCCTCAGCAGCTGTGTCCTATTTGGACTCAGCATCTCTCCAGCAAGTGGACACTGTCATGCGATGGGCTTCTGCTCTATACACACATGCACGCACGCATGCATGCACGCACTGATGGATGGTAGAGAAAACATTAAGAATTTGAAGGTCATGAGAGAGGACAGAGCTGGATAGCTCATTGGCCATCGTCTGGGAGCAGAGCCTGGCCGACCTCAAATTTTGCCTGCTAAGCACCTGGGGACGAAGTTCAAATTCTTCTTTGCATATTGGGCATGGCTGCATGGAGTCCCTGTGCAGGATGGATCTCTGCTTCACTCTCTCCCATTCATCTGAGGACAGAGGCAGCGGGGGAGGAGCCAAGAGGCCCAGCTTCTGGGCTACAGGAAAGACAAAGCACAATGTAAGTTGGTGTATTTTAGCAAAGGTGGTTACGTATAGTATAATTTTAACTTGACAGTTTGCAAATAGATATTCAAGAGACATAGTCATAGCTCACCTTTCATGGTATATAGAGTTATTTTTCTGTGGCAGCATTGGTGCCATGATGGCAATATTTGACATTTTCAGAAATGATTTATGTTTTTATCTATGTAGACTTGCCCAGTGTATTGAAAGCTCACAATGATTTTTAAGCAAACAGGACATTCAACTTTATAGAAGAAGCTTGAAGAATACTAATTTTTCACGATTTTCCTTGTTTCTCATCTAATTTAACTGTCAGCCTGCGGCACTGCCCTCTTCCACTTAGCCTGGCTTCCATCACCAGTGACCTTCACAAAATGCACATCAATCACGTGCCCCCAGGATAAATTCCTTAATTCAACAGTTTCTGGGACCCCACCACATGAGTGTATATCCCCCTGGTAAGAGACCTGCTTTGAAAAGTGCCTGCAACATTCTTGGGCATAGGGTTAGTAGGGCTAACTACGTGCAAACCACTTAATAGGGTTAGTAGGACTACTACCTTCAAACTGCTTAAATAATGGTAAAGGAACAAAACAAATCAACCTAGCATGGGCATCTTCAGAGAGTCACAATAAATGTTACAAGGATGGGAGGCTATGACAGAGCCCCATCAGAAAGAGCCATGGGAGGTTTCATTCCAGAAACGTGCTGCACTCTGAGGCTAGAGGATAAAGACAATCTTTTGGAACATCAGTTATAAACACGGTAACATGAGATGAGCCCTCGATGGGATCTGTTTAGGTGTCTGAGCATCTGAAACACACACATGCTAGAAAAACCACACATGCATGCATGCACCCCCCCCCCACCCACAGATGGTTCACAAAAACTTTGTAAACAAAATAAAGCAAGGTTACTTTACCAAAGAGACCTACAACAAAGCCCTGTGGGCGAAGATGTCATACTCTGGTGAAGAAGGGGTGTTTCCAGGTGAAGGAAAAGGTGAAATGTCCTTTCGGGAGAAGGACTTGCTGAGAAAAATCTGGATGTCTGGGCTCTGTCCCAAGGCAGTGAGCAGGGAGTGATGTGGTCTACCTGGCTTCGAGGGAGACAGCTGGCCTCACCCTCCACTTCTAGCACCTGGCTTTCCTTATCACACAGACCCAGTCATGCATAGGTCTGGAAGCAACCAGGACATGTGAGCAACGGACAATCAAATTGTAACTGTTTTGATGGCTTTGTCCAAATTGCTGTGTTCTTTGACCATTGTGCCATCATGTTTAAAACCAGTAGCACACCCAGCAAAGAGACTTTGGTTTCTGAAGTCCATTTTCCTGCCAGAGGAGCCAAGGCTTCTTGGAGGCATGGTGGACCCTAGAGCTGCAGCAGGGAACACAGAGGATGGACCTCCAGTAACTGGTACTGACACAGATTGCATGGCACTGAAAAGCCTGAGGACCAGCTTGCAAGTCAGCACTGTCACTGAACTGTAAGCTACAGGTAGGACAGGCAGACCGGAGTCTTCTACACAGGCATCTGAGTAGGAAAATGCAGGGGACACAAGCCTTTCTTTCAGAAGAATTCCAGATGATTCAGGCAGCCAGTCCCCTTTGCCAGAAGTAGAGGTTGACCCCATTCTGCACTGACCCTTGTGGGCTGGACTTGGGAGACTGGTTTCCAGAGAAGAGTTTTGAAAAGAACAGAAGCTTCTTAGTGAAGAAACCCAGAAGGCCCCCGTAACCAAGGGGCCAAGGTTAACATCGGTAGTGACAGGAGAGAAAAGCACTTCATACTGTGGTTTCTGTTCAACCCAGAGCCCGGTCAAACTGTGACAGAAACTAAGGTGAACTGTGGGTCATTCTACAAACCACCTGGCCAGTGCTCTACAGATGGTCAAGGCCAAAGATTCCAAGGAAAAGACCTCAGAGGCACTGCTACAAGCAGCTGCCTGCGCTGGATTCTGGAGCACTGATAGGCATTAGAGGAATGGGGTGGGGTGGGGTGGTGGACAACCAAAGTCAGTCAGCAGCGAGGTGCCAACTGTAGGTTTTTTAATTTGGAAAAAAGTACAGGATACTACAAAAGATCTTGGGATTCGGTATACACAGGAAGCCTATACTTCCTACACAGTTTTCCCTGTAAGTCTGAGATTATTCTGAAACAGCGATGGAGAAGGGGGAGGGGAGGGTCTGAATAGGATCAAAATACATTATATGAGATTCTGGAATCTATAAAAATATTAAACATTTATTTTAAAACAGCAGGATCAAAGGCAGAACTTTAAAATCAACTCCCAAACAGTAAGCATGTCTGAATTAAAAATACACTTAGCAGAAATGCTTGAGACTAGAAATGTTCAGATTTGGGTTTTTCAGATACTTGCATATTTGCAGACTTTACTGACAATCCCCTGAATCTGGAGATCCAAAGTCCCAAATCACGTCTGGTCAGTACTCAAAATGTTTTGGCTTTCTAGGCTAGAGCTGCTATTCTATAGCTAGTCCTCCAAATTGAAACACTCCCTCCTGGGAGGGAGGATGCAGACTCACAAGACTTAGGAAAGAAAAGGAACAAGTCTTGGGAACAAGATCAGGAAACAAGATTCACAAGGCCCCTCAGCAAGGAGACACTCGCAGTAACAACTGCTGGGGAGGGGGCGACTCTCTGACTAGCCAAGTGGTCTCCAAGTCATGCTGAGAGATCCAGGGATGCAGGTTCTGTGTGGTACCTGTGCTGGGGTGGACTTTCTGCTGATGCAGCTGCCTTTGAGTCACCCGTGCTCTGTAAATGACCCCTCACCAGTTCATTAAGCTAGATTTGGGTGGAATTCTTTCTCTGGTCTGACACTGGTGTCCTACCTCTGGGAAACAGATCTTTGTCCATGTCTCCTCAGGAAACATCACACAACAGATGCTCAGCCTACAAGACTCAATAATTTGTGGACTATAGAGAAAATCAGGAAAGACAACAAAGAAGTTTGGTCCTATGAGCTGTGGAGCTATGAGAGACACATGTCAGCACGGGAGGCAGAAGCAAACAGCTTGTGGGGAAGTGTGTATCTGCATGCAGTGGCCAGGATACAAAGTCTGCAAACAAATGCTGTACTCAGATGCCAGGAAAGGGGAACACAGCCAGGAAAGGCAGCACAGAGGAGGGACGGAGGGCGGAAACGGCAAAACCAGGGGCCAAAACCCAAACCAGAACCAGCACTAGGTATGAGTCCAAATTGTTTTTATCTCTACACACATTTCTACTGAAATTTATCATGATATAAAAGAAAATAAAATGTGAAAATACAGAATAAGAAAAGGAAATAATCATAAATTTTAGGTCAAAGGGCTGGGGGCGTGGCCCAGTCAGTAAAGCACTATCTGCACAAGCAAGGGGCCCGAGGGTATCCCCAGCACCCACGTAAGAGCTGGGTGTGGCCTTGTGCAGCCTGTCACCCCAGTGCTGGTGAGGTAGAGCTAGGCGATCCTGGGCTTGCTGGGTCTGAAATGCTGAGCTGGTCTGTGTCTGATGAAAACTGCGTTCACAGAACTACGAAGAGCCAGGACGTAACACACGCCTGCAAATCCCAGCACTCAGGAGGCTGAGGCAGAAGAGCTGAGAGTTCAAGTCATATTTTTGCCTCAAATATACTGCATTAGTCCCCTGACCAGGGCACTGTGTTCACCGGCTTCATCAGTGCTAACAAGCCAACGGATCACCAGATTAGCGTACCTAAAGTCGGTGGTGGTGGAATGGGGTCAAGAACATACTCCTCCTCTGGATCGTCCACTCTGGGTCTTTCTGTAGCTTTTTTGAGTCCAGTGTCTATTACTGCCCTCACTTTTCTGTTGAGACATTTTGACCTGCTGTCTTTCTTTTGCACATTTGTCTTGGAATAATCTGCTACTGAGAGATGTCCAAGTTGAAGATCGTGTAAAATGTGATCTTGCAAGGCAACTGCAGTGATTGCTAAGTTATCTTTTTTAGCTGAATGATCCTAAAAAGTAGGGGGAAAGTCTTATTTACTGGAGCAGTGTGTAATGCATCACTTAGAAGAAAACTGAGGCTTTAATGCTTACCTGAGAGAATAGTAACAAATGGAACAGGTGAGCATGCTAGAGCCACTGCTATCAAGTCTTAGCAGACCCCAGCCTCATCATTTATGTTAAATAGGAATATCTTCATTTAAATATTAGAGCCTTAATTATAATACAAATAAGTTTATTATGACTTTTAAATCTGTGCATGCTTGGGGGGCCAGAGGGATGGCTCAGGGGTTAAGAACAGTGGCTGTTCTTGCAGAAGACCTGGGTTCGAATCCCACACCCACATGGCAGCTAACAACTGTCCATAACTTCAATTCCAGGGGATTCAGTCTCTTCTTTTCTCCACCAGCATTTCACGACACAGGTGCACTTACCTACATGCAGGCAATACACACATACACATAAAATAAAAAAAAAATTAAAAAAAACCCTGTGCATGTTGAAACAAACCCAAGCTGTTTTGCTATAATTAAATGAAGACTCCAGGCAAATACTAAAGGGAATCTTGCACTCAAGCATGAGCTCTGTGCTGAAAACAATACATTTCCTATGCAAAACAAGTTACCAGAGCCAGTACAGGCTTGCAGGCAGCACTGACTCCTGCAGATCTGTCAGCTGCCCACACCACACTCGTGCCTCCCACTCAGGCTCACAGTTCAGGGAAGCAAGGTTTGCAGACTATTTTCATATTTGCAGAAGGTCCAGTTAAACTGTATCTCATGAATGAAACCACTGGTGTGTTTTAAGAAGAATGGAGCACCTTATTTTTTAACATGCTGAATCAGGAAAAGCTGTGGCGATGCGTAACAGATTCTTTCACGTCAGGTTCTTTCCTTCTTTAGCTGTGAACAGAAAGTGAGAGTGTACATAAATATCCATTTATCAGAGATGATGATTCTGGAAGACACAAAAATACTGACACTGCGGGATTAGTATACAGAAAAGAAAACCCTGTAAGAGCTCACAAGTGACCTTTTCATGCAGAAGATACTCTGTGACTATTGCTTCAGTTCCCCTGAAAGCTGGGGCAAGTATTTAGGATTGACCTTTTTCATTTGCGGATAATGGTATTATTTTTATGAAGGCAAGAGTTCACAGTGTTCTACAGTGGGGGAAAAACACAAGTTTTCAAAGCTACCTAGGGAAGAGAACTGAAGGGCTTTAAGGGAGGACCTGAGGGAGCACTTTTCTTGCATAGAAACCTGAAGCCCTGGGTTCTATCCCCAGCACTGCAAAACCAAAACCAAAAACAAACCAGTCAGCAAGTTAAGTTCAGTAGGAATTAATGCATAAGGCCCTAGTTGGAGAATAAAGTCCAGCAGCTGCTCAAATCCTTTAGAAGCCAGAGAACGGTTTCTACTTTGAACCTTTCCTTGTTCCCTTTTCAGTTTTGCAGGGGGATATATGAAAGAAATTCCTAGTCAATGTTCCATCAGCATAGCCTAGGTTGGAGAAAAGGTAATTAAATCCTGAAGGTTACTACCAGTATTTTCTAAGTTCAAATGCTTGTAACTTGGCAAAGACAAAGTATGCATCACACCAAACTTTGTTTTCCATTCCATACATAAATATTGTTAATCGTAAGTAGCTATCTAGTCTATAATTACATCTAGTTTTCAGTGTGCCATTGTGACTAAATAAAGGTGAGAGCTTTTTAAAAAATTCTTTGTTCAAAGTCCCATAGCATTAGCAAATTTTATGACTTAAAGATATTGGAATCGTCAACGATCTGGTCCAACTTCACCAATGAGAAGACATGACCGGAGAGGAGGTGACCGATTAGTCTGTGGCACCGGGACAAGCTTAGAAACCCACTCCTGTACTAACAGCCACGACAGAACTCTCTGTGTCAGTTCGTTGTGTTCCGGCTTGGTAAAAGAAAAAAACAAAAAGACAAAAAAGGCCCGAGGTGACAAGGCAATGAGCCACCAATTTGTGTAAGTGACCATAAGGCAATTCATACAGTTATCAAGTACGAATAAAAGTAAACTCCCGCACGTCGCTCTGCCTGTGAACGGTGTCTGGTCTCCAGGCCCCGCCCGCGCGCCCCCGGCGTTGGGTCGGAACCATTGGCGTCAGGCCCACCGCGGATCCGCGGACCCGTGGCGCAAACGCACAGCGTCCGGGACCTACCGCCTGGGACCCAGGCTTCCCGCTGTGAAGGTGACCCCGCGTACGGGGCAGAGCGGGCTCTGCCTTCCTTCAGCACCGTCGCTGCTCTACGCGGCGGACAGCACAGGGTCCGGAAATGCACCCAGGCTCCCTCGGCCCGAGGGCTCAACTGCCGCTGAATCTCTGGCAGCTCCCTGGGCCGCTCGCTGTTGCCGTGACAACCCGAATGCGTCTGCTCGCTGACCCCGCCTCGCCTGGAGGGAGCGTCCCAGGTGCGCTCCTAGTGCGCATGTTCGCTGGTCGCGCCCTGTGACAGGCTCAGAAGAGCGGGACACCTGAGCGTTCTCCTCAGCCCGAGCGCGGGGCGTGATGCGCCGGCCGCCGAGTCCCGCCTCCGCCCCTCGCGCTTAGCCTTCGTCCGGACGCCGGTGCGTCGTTGCGAGGCGCGCGCCGTGGTGTGTGGGGTTGTGCGTGGCGGCGCGGTCGGGCGAGTACGGGCATCTTGGCCGCTCGGCCGTTACCCGAGGCCGAGTGGTGCGACTCCAGCGCGGGCGGCGTGGGCCTGCTGCCTCTTCCTCAGGGTGGCAGCGTGGGCTAGCCTCGGGTTCCAGGACAGTGTCCTAGCCTCGATCCCTGGCCTCGTGCTTGCTAAGGGAACTTGACAGGGAATCCCTTCTGGGCCAAGGCTGTGCTCCCTAGTCCCTGAGCCTGTGCCCCCCCCCCCTTACCCAGGCTGAGAGGTGCCCCCCTCCTTACCCAGGCTGAGAGGTGCCCCCTCCTTACCCAGGCTGAGAGGTGCCCCCCCTTACCCAGGCTGAGAGGTGCTCCCCCCGTTACCCAGGCTGAGAGGTGCCCCCCCCGTTACCCAGGCTGAGAGGTGCCCCCCTCCTTACTCAGGCTGAGAGGTGCCCCCCCTCCTTACCCAGGCTGAGAGGTGCCCCCCCTCCTTACCCAGGCTGAGAGGTGCTCCCTCCTCCTTACCCAGGCTGAGAGGTGCCCCCCCCTTACCCAGGCTGAGAGGTGCCCCCCCGTTACCCAGGCTGAGAGGTGCCCCCCTCCTTACGCTGAGAGGTGCCCCCTCCTTACCCAGGCTGAGAGGTGCCCCCCTCCTTACCCAGGCTGAGAGGTGCCCCCTCTCCTTACCCAGGCTGAGGTGCCCCCCCTCCTTACCCAGGCTGAGAGGTGCTCCCTCCTCCTTACCCAGACTGAGGTGTTCCCTCCTTACCCACGTTAAGAGGTGCTTCTTCCTCCTTTCCCAGGTTGAGGTGCTCCCTCTTTACCCAGGCTGAGAGATGGTCCTCTGCTCCTTACCCAGGTTGAAGGAGGTGCTCCCCCCTCATCTAGGCTGAGCAGGTGCCCCCTTCTTACCTAGGCTGAGAGGTTCTCCCACCTTACCGACGCTGAGGTACTCCTTCCTCCTTACCCAGGCTGAGAGGTGCTCACCCCTCCTTACCTAAGCTAGAGGAGGTACTCCCTCCTCCTGTCCAGGCTGAGAGGTGGGTCCTCCTCCTTACCCAGGCTGAGAGGTTCCCCCTCCTCCTTACCCAGGCTGAGCAGGTACTCCCCTCTTTACCCAGGCTGTGCTTGAGTACCCTCCTCCTTACCCACAGGCCTTTGGTCACACTGTACTTTGAAGTCCAAGTGAGGGTCTCTGGCTCCCCCCCTCCCATGGTGCTTGCAGCCCTCAGGCCACCACCCTTTCCCTACATCAGGGCACCCCTGGTGCTGCTTGTTGAACCAGGCCTGAGAACTCGGATTTTTTCTTCTTTGGGGTGGTTTGAGTCTGGTCGCACTTCGTGGTCACAAGCAGAAGTCCCAAGTTTGTATTGTTTCTCTCCTGTGGAAGGGCGGTGGCTCTTGGGCTGAGCTTGTTTCCTTGCAATACGAATCACTTGAAAGTTCAGAGGAAACAAACAGGTGCAGTTCTCTCCACCAAGTAAAGTTAACTGAGACTAGAAGTTGATCATTGATCACCAAAGGCTTTTATTTATACAAATCTTGAATAAGTGATATATCTGTGAAATAGTATCATTTTCAACTCCACTTGAAAGTTGTAATTTTTTTCTTGGAAACTATTTTTTTGCACTGGCCACTCCTGTTTGAAGCTTGTAAAAACAGATTAAGAGCCGGCCAACTGTTTTAAAGGTCAAATTTACAGTAAGTTAATTTTAAATTATGAATTTTTACATGGTGGTTCAGATGTTTTCAAGAGTAATGTCCCCTCAGCTTGTATTTCAGCGAGTGGTGGACTGAGAAGAGCAGTGAGGCCCTCTTGCAGTCTAAGAGTTTTTCATTCTGAGACTATGGTCTTAAATATTGAAGTGCAAAATGGATAAAGCTTTGGATTTGATTACATGGACTTGAGGTTAAACCTGCACTTATTTTCTACATGTCTGTTCTTTTGCAAGTTGCCTTTCCCCCCTAAACTGTGGGTTCCTGGTTTACAAAGGGGACACTGCCCCATCTCAATGTTGGACATCCATTAGCTATTCCCTGGCAGTGGCCCTGGATAGTCTTCCATTCTGTGAGTGATCATGTGGCCAGTGTAGTCAGAAACTCCATAGAACCCTGGCCCTGGTGATATCATCAGGGTGGGCATCTCACTGGAGCCAATCACTGGGACTCGTGGGGTTTTTTGGGGGGGCGGGGGTCTATGGGAAAATTTCTTTACTTCTTCCTACTGAACGTAGAAACAAGACACGAAACTGCAGCTTCATCTGCTCCCTTAGTGCCACAGGGTAGGAACCTGAAGGTGTGAGGCTCCCAGGTAAAGTTGAAAAGGAATAGAAGGAAGATTATACAGGAAATGGTAGAGTTGGGATTTGGACACAGTCCAAGCTGGGTGATGTAGTTTGAACCCTGGAGCTAGCCCAACTCTTGGTCTTTTCTCTTACCTGCTTCATCTAATGTGGGTCTGTTTTTCTGTCACTTGCTTAGGAAGAATTTGAATGAAAATAGGGGTACTATTACCATCTTGGGGCTATGGTGGGTTAAAACATGATATTGTATGTGAATGGCTTTGGACAGTGCCTGCTAATAATCATTCTGTTTTAAAGTATTTTCAACTCTATTAAGCTGAAAAGAAAATCTCATTTTAAAATTTCTGCTTGCATTCAAGTGATTAAGTTTTTCATGACAATTTACTATCCAAACTAGATTGGCCAAGTTTTCAGTTGAGCACAAAGCTTTTTCTGTAGACTTTTGCTTGAAAATTTAACCTTGTAATTATTACTTTGCTATAGGTTTTCTCCCCAGCCCCCTCAGAGGGGTCTCTTAATTTTCCTAGGTGGACTTTGAACTCCTAGACTTAATCCAGCCCCCTGCTTCAGCCTTATGAGTAGCTGGGACTACATATTTGAGCCACTGTGCTTAGCTTATATATATATTTTAAACATTGACTTTGCTGCATACTACAAGTTTTGAAAACTATTGTTTTATTTTATTGTTAATTTTTTTGAAATTTTTCCCCCTTTTAAATATGTTTGATTTCCAGATATCTGGGGATTTTCCAGCCCTATTTCTGCCATTGCTTTCTAGTTAACTTTTACTGTAGTGTGAAGGCATACTTTGTATGACTCCTGTTCTTTTCAATCTGTTAAGACTAAGGTGTGTTTAATGACTTAGAGTGTGGTCTGTTTTGGAGACCATTCCATTTGACCTCGAGAACAAAGTTTATTCTGCTGTTGGATGACTTGGTCTGTGCTTCTCAACACAACTCAGTTGATTCATGGCGCTGTTCCATTCCATTGTATCCTCACTGCTTTCTTAATTGCTAGGTCTGTCAGTTACTGATGGAGTGTCATCATCTAGTACAGCAGTAGGTTTATCAATTTATCCTTGCCATGACATTCACTTCTGTGCCTCATGTATTTTGATGCTCTGTTGATAAATGTGTACATAACAAAGATCACCATATTTCCTTGGATAATTAACCCCTTTACCATAATGAGATGACTGGATTTGGAGGCTGGGCTTTAGATTCAAGATTTGGAGGAAAAATGATCAAGATGTGGCAAAGTAAGGGATGGGGGAGGGTCTGGAAAGAGTAGCTAAGTATACAGGTGGAGAAGATGGGCTCCAGGACTGCAGAAGACACAGGGAGGAGGGGAGGGATGTGCTTCTAGGAGCAGTTGGGGCCGTCCCTGAGAGCGAAGTGGGAAGTGGGCACTAACTAAAAATGTTCAGATCATACAAGAAGAGGACATTATTAGAGCTGGGCTGTCAGAGACAAAAGATGCCTGTCTAGAAATGGCCATGTGTGGGCAGGGAAGAGTGTAAGTTGCAGGTGCATAGACAGCAGGAGTGTGGACCTCAGGTGTGAGGACTCCAGGTATGTGAACTCCAGGTGTGTGAATTCCTGATGTATGTGGGCCCCAACTTTATACACTCTAGGTGTGTGGACTATAGATATAGGTCTCAGGTATGTGACTCTAGTGTATTTTTGCATATAGCCACCCTGAAAATGCTTGAATTCATCTAAATGTATCTCTATGACTCTAGGGTGAAGTCTGGGAACTGAATGTATGAAGTTAGGAGAAGGAAATGTATTCTGTCACGTTGGGCCAGAGTCTTCCTGGATTACCTCAGGTATGAAAAATATTCAGGGATGGCAAGATTGCACAGTGAGTACAGTGCGTGCTATGCAAGCCAGATCATCTGAGCTCATTCCCCAGAACCCACGTCAGGGTGGAAGGAGAGAACTGACTCTTCAAAGTTGTCCTCTGTCCATCACATGACACACACACACACACACACACACACACACACACACACAATTAAAAAAAATATTTGAAGGGGGAGGAGAATCTTAGATTCCTAATATGAAAGGAAATTCAATGGTAACCTTTAAAATATATCTACAGTTGTAAACTATAGCTATGAGTGGGCAGAGCCAGGTTATCGCTTTCAGCATCTCCTCAAGTCAGAACCATTCTTTGTCACTGCAGTTGCTACCATTTGTACAGGACTTTGTACACATTTAATCTCCTTTGTCACTCATTGTTACAGTAAACTAAGGAAGGGCCTATGTTTCCGATGATGCCCCAGTTTGCTATTTCCCTATTTTGGGCCTGTGATTATAAATTGCTGTCAAATTGTAAAAATTGTAGTTTTGAATGATTCTGTGTTATGAAAACTATCATGGCATAGGGTATGAGGGTTAGTAGAAGTCAAGTGTTGGCTCTTTTGTTCAGTTTTGGACTTACAGAATCGTAGGTTTTGGCAAATAATACATTTTTAATAAATTGAAAGAAAAAAGCATAGAAAGGTAAGTTTTGTGTTTTTTATTGCGTTATCTTTAGCCTACATCACAGAAACCAGTCCACAGCAGGTACACAAAATATGCTTGTTGAATTCTTAATCTTCTGTGGTACAAGTTAATGACTTTGTAAGAGACAAAATA